TACTCAGGAGGCCGAGGCAGGAGAATTGTTTGAACCCAGGAGGCGGAGGTTGCAGTGAGCCAAGATCATACCACTAAACTCCAGCCTAGGTGACAAGAGTGAAACTCCATCTCAAAAAAAAAAGAAAGAAATGTAATTCACCCATCATAAAGTTCACCCATTTAAAATGAACAACTCAGGGTGTGGTGACTCATATCTATAACCCCAGTGCTTTGGAGGCCAAGGTGGGAGGATTGCTTGAGGCCAGGAGTTGAGATGAGCCTGGGCAACATAGCTAGACCCTGTCTCTAAAAAAATTTTTTAAAAAGAAAATGAAAACTTAGCTGCACACGGTGGCACATGCCTGTAGTCCTAACTACTCGGGAGGCTGAGGTGGAAGGATCTCTTGAACCCAGAAGTATGAAACTGTAGAGAGCTACAATGGCACTACTATACTCCAGTCTGGGAAACAGAGTGAGGCTCTGTCTCTAAAAAAAGTAAATACAATGTACGGTTCAATAGATTTCAGCGTATTCATAAAGAAGCAGAACCATCACCACAATCAATTTTAGAACATTTTCATCCCCCCAGAAAGAAACGCTATGCCCATTAGCAGTTGCTTTCCATTTTTCCCATTACCCTCCTACCCCTAGGCAACTACTATGCTACTTTCTGTCTCTATAGATTTGCCTACTGGGGACATTTCATATAGATTGAATCAAACAATACGTGGTCCTTTGTGTCTGGTTGCTTTCACTTAGCAAAATGTTCATGTTGGTAGAGGTGCTTAAAAAAGAAAATAAAAAGAACAACAAAAAAAGGAAGCCAAATTCATCCATGTTGTAATGTTTTAGTACTTCATATTCCTTTTCATTGTCAAATGATATTTCATTATGTGGATATACCACATTTTATTATTATATATACCATATTTTATTCCTCAACCCAGTGGATATGTGGATTGTTTACACTTTTTGGCTATTATAAATACTGCTGTGCACATTAGTGTACAAATTTTTGTACGGACATTTTTCACTTTTTTTTTTCTTGAGACAGGGTCGCACTCTGTCACCTAGGCTGGAGTGCAATGGCTTGATCACCATCCATTGCAGCCTCAACCTCATAGGCTGAAGCGATCCTCCCACCTCAGCTTCCCAAGTAGCTGGTACTATAGGAGCACACCACCATTTTTTATAGAGAAGGGGTGTGGAGGGTGTTCGGGGGGGTCTCCCTATGTTGCCCAAGCTAGTCTCAAATTCTTGGGCTCAAGTGATCCTCCCACCCCAACCTCCTAAAGTGCTGGGATTACAGGCATGAGCGACCACACCTGGCCCATTTTCCACTCTTAAACTTACAGTTGCATTGTCATATTAAACTAATTAAGTTAATTGCCCTTTAATTTTCTATTAGCAGGTATAACAATACATTATGCACCATGCTCCAATGATGACAACAAAGTTTTTCACCACTCCGGGCATTTTATCCACACCAATGTAAATGTCCTTAGGTCCCATAGCACCGAGAAACTCTGCCACCCTTTTCTTTACACCACACTGCTCTAAAGCGACTGTAGATTCTGCTTTTGCATCATCCTAAAGGTTTATTTGTTTAATTCATCAAGACTAGGATACATTAGAAATCTTGGCAGGGCACAGTGGCTCACACCTGTAATCCCAGCACTTTGGGAGGCTAACGCGGGAGGATTGCTTGAGCCCAGAAATTTGAAACCAGCCTGGGCAACAAAGTGAGATGGAGTCTCGCTCTGTCACCCAGGCTGGAGTGCAGTGGTGCAATTTTGACTCACTGCAACCTCCGCTTTCCAGGTTCAAGCAATTCTCCTACCTCAGCCTCCTGAGTAGTTGGGATTACAGGCATATGCCACCATGCCCGGCTAATTTTTTTTATTTTTAGTAGAGACAGGGTTTCACCATGTTGGCCAGGCTGGTCTCAAACTCCTGACCTCAGGTGATCCGCCTGCCTTGGCCTCCCAAAGTGCTGGGATTACAGGCATGAGCCACCATGCCCAGCCCTTTCCTTTTTTTTTTTTTTTTTTTTAAAGAGACAAGGGTTCACTCTGTTGCCAAGGCTGTAGTACAAGTGCAGTGGCATGATTCTAGCTCACTGCAGCCTCAGATTCCTAGGCTGAAGCGATCCTCCTGCCTCAGCCTCTCAAAGTGCTGGGATTACAGGTGTGAGCCATGACACCTGGCCTCCTTTCTTTTGAATGATATTAATCTGTTCATCATTCAGCACAATTTGGAGCAAAGGAGCTAGTAAGTCTTCAACAGCCTCTCACTTCATCCTGCTTCCCCAGTAGTAGGGTCACACAAAAAGTCCACAAAGGTGGAGGCCCTCTTATCACAGCATCAATCATCACTTAAGTCAAAGAGATAAAATTAAGGGATACCTTAGTTTCATCACAGAACCAATCCCAATGTGCTTGCTTGCATTCTCAATGTTTCAGTCACCTCTAGGGAGTATTTCATCTAATAATTATGGGTGTAATTGGGCAGTTCCCCCTTACAAGATATGTTTTATGTACTCCCACCTTTGTCCAGCTCAACCGATTTGGAATTTGCCCAGCTAACCACATTCCGGCAAAAGCTGCAGCTAATTGAAGATCTTCAACGAATTCAGCTAATGAAGACCAAGCACACCTTGTGTACATGTACATTCATTTGAAGGTACATTTGACAGTACCTAATACAAGGAAAAGAGCTCCTTTGTCATTCATGTATATCATGTCCAGCAGTGGTTCTGCAGGAAGCTCTGTCAGTCCACAGGCAACTTAACTCTTGTGTAGTTCCCTGTTTCAGTTGTCTCTTGATGCCCTCCCACTGTAGTTTCTTTGGTAATTATCTACCAGATGAGGGTCACATTCCCATTAGAAGAAATATCTGCCCAACTCCCCTTTGGCATCATGTTCCTTCCCTTTACAGAAGGAACTTGGTGGATTTGGCAACGCAGGGCTCTTTTTTAGTTACTTTCATTTTTGCCAAAGCAGCCTAATCAGCTAGGGAACTGGATTCTTGGCTGACTTCCCCTGTGTCTGGATTTCTTTTTAAATCTATTTAACTATTTCCTCTTGCTCTGCATCAACCACATTCAAGTTCCATTGCCATCCCTTTCTTCCCATTGAGAGTTGTAGCACTTCAGCAAATTCAAACAGGGATTCCCCAGCAACCAGCCTGGCACCGGTGGCTCTAAATCTTCCCCACTTTTCATCTTTCTCCCAAAGCCTTAGCTATCATTTAAATTATAAAGTAAAAAACTGGGGGGCCAGGTGCAGTGGCTCACACCTGTAATCCCAGCACTTTGGGAGGCTGGGACGGGCAGATCACTTGAGTTCAGGAGTTCAAGACCAGCCGGGCCAACATGGCGAAACCCCATCTCTACTAAAAATACAAACAAATTAACCAGGTGTGGTGGTGCAATGCCTGTAATCCCAGCTACTCGGGTGGCTGAGGCATAAGAATTGGTTGAACCCAGGAGGCAGAGGTTTCAGGCTTCAGTGCCACTGCACTACAGTCTGGGCAACAGCGTGAGACCCTGTCTTGAAAAACAAAAAAAAAAAAACAAAAATCTTGGGCCCGGCACAGCTGCTCACACCATAATCCCATCACTTTAGGAGGCCGAGGCAGGCAAATCACTTGAGCCCAGGAGTTTGAGACCAGCCCAGGCAACATGGTGAGACTCCATCTCTACAAAAAAATAATTTTGCTTAAAGTTAGGCAGCTGTGATGATGTGTGCCGTAGACCCAGCTACTCGGGAGGCTGAGGTGCGAGGATCTCTTAAGCCTAGGAGGTTGAGGCTATATAGCCATGATCGAGACACTGCACTCAACTTGGGCGACAGAGTAAGACCCTGTCTCAAAAACAAACAAACAAAAATTTAATGATCCTATTCACAGTACCCTCGTCATCAATTACACAGGTTTGGATAATTGAAAAGACTCAGAGGACTCTGCATAGTATACTCACCTAAGGCTTTAATAAAGGTAAAGGATAGATTAAAAAACAAACAAACAAACAAACAAAAAAAAAACCTCCAACAAACCAAAAGGCAAGTGAAACACCAGGCCCAGTTCCTAGGGTCCTTTTGCAGACACAAAGGATGTGGAAAATGTGCTTCATCTTTAAGTAATGAACCAGCTAGATACATGCAAGACACCTTGGTCTCAGGAGAACCATAACCTCATCTGAGGCTCTTTTATACTCCTCTGATGAGGTAGCCAACACTAGCTTGCATACCAGGGCTCAAAACCAGAAACAAGCTGGTATAGTCAAGCTGGGGCAGTGGCATGCACCTGTAATCCCAGCTACTTGGGAGGCTGAAGTGGGAGGATCACTTGAGCCCAGAAGTTCAAAGCCAATGAGATTTCATCTCCAAAAAGAAAGAAAGAAACAAGAAACAGGCTGCTCCCTGATCTGTCTCCCACCCCAGCACAGGACTCTAATAATCACTGACTAGTACATTTCATTTAGGTTTGGCCAAGGAACAGCACCAAGGCTTCAGGCCTCCCCAGAGATGAATGAGTACAGGGTTGCAGCAGACCAGCAGACATCGATCCTGTCTGACACAACAAAGTTTGGTGGTCAATCATGCCAGTCTAGAGGCTGTTTCTGGGGGAGGAGAAGTAATTTCCAAGGCCCTTTCCAGGTCTAATATTCTTTGACTACAGTGCTAAGAGTGCCACTGAGGTAACTGTGCCATGGAGCTAGGATTTAAATCCAAGTCTGTGTGACTCCAGTGTCTGTCCTGTTTCCTCCATACCATCCTGCCTCCAAAGAGAGAAATAATAGCAAGACAAAGAAGGGGCCATAGGTTTAGGTGTAGAAGAAAATCACCTTTGCCACAGATGGTAACTTACTTACCTGAGGTTTATCCACAGTTTTAGTCTAATGGAGGAGAATGCTGGCCAGGGGAAGAAAAGTACGAGGCTGAAGTACAAATGCTCTGTTCCTCCTTTAATAGGAGGCAGTGAGAAAATATTTAAGGAACTGAAACGCAAAACAAATTGCGCAGTCATAGATGTTAACAGTAAATGCTCCAAGGTCTTGAGTCAACAGGATCCAATCAGGACCCAAGGGGAGTAATGAAACCTATGGAGTCTCACACCAGAAGTATTTTATTCTAGTTTGTTTCTGTTGTTTTTGAGACAGTGTCTCACTCTGTCGCCCAGGCTGGAGTGCAGTGGCACGATCCTAGCTCACTGCAGCCTCAAGCTCCCAGACTGAAGCGATCCTCCTATCTCGACCTCCCAAAGTGCTAGGATTATAGGCATGAACCACCACACCCGGCCTTTCTTCTAGTTTGTTGAGATTGGTTAACAGTTAAGGTGCTAGTGTCTTATTTCTGTTATAGTAACAGTTTCTATCTTTCTGGTAGCTTTTAGGATCTTTTCTCCTAAGTGTAGATCTCTCTACGTTCATTGGGCTGGGTATTCAATGGGCCTTTTCAATCTGAACTCTTGGGTCTCCCATCAAGCCTGGGAAATTACCTTCTATTATTTCTTTGATAACTTCCTACTGTCTGTTACTGTCTTTTTACTCTTTTGGTATTCCCACTGTTTAGGTGAGAAATTAATTGATCACTTTTTTTTCCCCATATATTATTTTCCTACTTTCTAAGGGTCTTGCTCTGTCATCCAGGCTGCAGTGCAATGGCACAATCACAGCTCACTGCAGCCACCACCTCCTGGGCTTAAGTGATCCTCCCACCTCAGCCTCCCAAGTTGCTGGGACTACAGACATTGCTACCATGCCCAGCTAATTTTTAATTTTATTTCGTGTAGAGATGGGGGACTCACCACGTTGCCCAGGCTGGTCTCGCACTCCTGGGCCCAAGTGGTCTGCCGGCCTCAGCCTCCCAAAATGCTGGGATTACAGATGTGAGCCACCACACCCAGCTGTCCTCTCCTTTATGTTCCAGCTCTCCAATCGTAGTTTAAAATTTCAGCAATTATAATTTCTCACAGCTCTTTCTTTTCTGTTATTTTCATAGTGTCAACTTTGCCCACACTGGTTCTCTAGGTCAGCTAAGAGAAAGCAATGTGTTCCATTTTGGGGGCAGCAGGGAAGACTTCTTTAATTTTTTTGCCCCAGGGTAAACACTTGTGTGTCAAATATTCTGATCATGGGGTAGAGGGAGCTGACTGTCCCACGCACAGGCTTCCAATTAGTCCCTCAATTTTCAGCCCTTCATGTCACTCCAGCGCTCCTTCCTACCTGGCATCATGTCCACGGTTACTCCAAGCTTCTCCATAGGGCAGAGAGTCTCTCATAGGAGACTCCATACTCAGGAAGCGGTTTCCTTGGGCTGCTTCCTTCATGACTACTAGTCCGTTTAGTTTCTGCTTTCCAAGAATGTGTTAAAATATTCTGTGCTACTGGTCCCATTTCTGTTGTGTTTTTTTTTTTTTTTTTAACCTTTAAGCTCTGTTGGACTTGACATTCCTATTTTCTTAATTTTCCTGGGTTTATACTTTTAAGAATCAGTAATATTGTGTATTACCAAAAACACGAATTAAAATTTACATAGCGTCTATAAAGGAAAAACCATTTCTCTACTCACATTTCTGACATCAAATATATGAGTTTTCCACCAACCAATTCTCCGCAGACAGCAGCTGAGTGTCCTACAATTTTACTCAATTCTGATGCTAAGTAACCAGAGTTAGTGCAGACCCCACGGGTTAGGGGCTCAGCCCCCAAGACTGCCCCCTACTTCGGATGCCAGCCACAACTATTAGGAGCCCAGGGTACCCACACTTCTGTCCAAGTTCACTACAAAACAAGGGCATCTGCAACCCCCTCAGGTTGAATAATTTCTTTCTTGGGGGTTGGGGGAGTTTAGGAGCAGAGGTTTAATAGGCAACAGAAAGAACAATGAGAACAGATCTCTCCCTTCTGAGGGGCTTCCGAAAGGAAAATCCGGCCCGCGGTGGACTGCACCAGTTTTATAGGCAGGCCTGAGGAGGCGGTGTCTGATTTGCCTACAGCCCACAGGTTGGTTTGACCAGGTGTGACGTTTACATAGCGCCAGGGGAAGGCTGGTCACCCCACCCGAATCTTACTATGACAAAGGGCAGAGTGACCTTGACATGCCATGTGCTTTCCAGAGCAAGGGCAGAGAGTGATGCTCACTGTGGTGGGGGAGGAGACCCTCTGTTCCTAGAAAATCACAACAGCATGCCCCTGTGCTACATCCCCGGTTACTACAGCATTCCTTGTTCTTGCCTAACAAGATTACGTCCCTGCACTGTAAAACTCCCGCAGCACAGGATACAGAGGGAGGATAGGAGACACGGTGGTCGTGGATAGGAAATGAGGGAATTATGATAGGAAAGTTGGAGGTCCTGTTACCCACACCCCTTAGAGTGGTCGGAGGCTGGGGTGAGTGCAGAAGCCTTCGGATGGCAGCAGGAGGTAGCCCCAGCCAGAAATCCTCCGTTGCTCCAGGACCTCTTCCAGCCCCACACGACGGCTTGGTCCTCCGTGAAAGGAAACTGGTTCAAACATGGCCAATATGCCCAGCAGCCCGTGGGTACTTGGGGGTTCTCCATGTTCTCCCCAGCAAGCCTGTCCTCCGAGACTTGGAAGGCCGGCACGCACGCTCATCATTTTTAAACGGCTAATTGTTGAAGGCAGTTTTCCCATTCACAGAAGCAGAAGGGGGCCCAGTATTTGGTTTGGTCTGATTCTAAAATGGAGGCCAAGAGCCTCGAAATCAAAGGACAGAGTTGAGGTCCGCTCCTCTACTCACCTTTCCAGTGAATGCACCTTGGAATCCCAGACGAAGTCCCCAATATGAAGTGGCATTGTTGTCTGGAGTCAGTACCCGGGGTTCGTCGTCTCACACCAAGAAGGTTAAGGACAGGGATACACACGAGGAGTGGGTTTAGGAGCGGAGGTTTAACAAGCAAAAGAAAAAGGAGAACAGCTGTCTCCCTTGCGAGAGAGAGGGGCTTCCCAAAGGAAAATCCCGGTTTTGATAATTTCTTATAATGGCTCACAGAACTCAGAAAGTTTACTTATGTTTACTGATTTATTGTAAAGGATACAGATGAACAGGCAGTTGAAGAGGTACACAGGGCAAGGTCCAGAAGGGTCCCTGGTGAACACAGGACCTTTTGGCTTCTTGCAGTTTGAGGTGCATCGCCTTCTTGGTATGTAGTTAGGGTTAACCAAACCAAAAGCTCTCCAAACCTGCGGTTTATTTTTTAATGGAGGTGCCATCACTTAGGCATGATTGGTTAAATTACTGGCCATTGGTGGTTAGTCAATCTCCAGCCCTTTTACCCTCTCTGGAGGTCAAGGGGTGGGGCTGCAAGTCCCAGACCTCCAATCATGCCTTAGTCTTTCAGGGCATAGCCGCCATCTGAAGTTGTCTAAAGGATCCCAGCCACCAGTTAGCTCATTGTCATACACTCTTATCATCTGGAGATTCCAAAGGCCTTAGAAGCTCTTGTGTCAGGAACCAAGACCAAGTATTCTAATAAAAGATGTTTCTATCACCCCTGTCACTCAGGAAATTACAAGGGTTTCTGGAGATCCGTGCCAGGAACTGGATGAAGATCAAATATATATATTTATTATATCACAATATTGCAGCCTACTACTTGCCAGGGACAATTCTAAGCACTTTAATGTGTCCACTTAATTCCTTTAACAGTCCAAATCAGCTATTGCTATATCTCCATATTACAGATAAGGAAACTCAACCACATAGAGGTTAAGGTTAACCAGGTGATCTGGCTAGTCTGTACTTTTACTTGATGTTATGCTGCCATACAGACTAGAATTTTTTGTTTGTTTGTTTGTTTGTTTTGAGATGGAGTCTTGCTCTATTGCCAGGCTGGGATGCACTGGCATGATCTTGACTCACTGCAATTTCCACCTCCTGGGTTCAAGCGATTACCCTGCCTCAGCCTCCCAAGTAGCTGGGACCACAGGTGCGCAACACCACACCCAGGTAACTTTTTTTGTATTTCAGTAGAGACGGGGTTTCACCATGTTGGCCAGGATGGTCTTGATCTCCTGACCTTGTGATCCGTCCGCCTTGGCCTCCCAAAGTACTGGGATTACAGGCGTGAGCCACCGCGCCCGGCCTATTCCTACATATTTACCCAAGAAAAATGAAATCACATGAACACACAAAGATTTATACAATAATGTTCATAGCAACTTTATTCATAATAATAACCAAAAAATCAGAAACAGCCCAGTGTCCACTGGGGATAAACACATAGATAAACAAAGTATCCATAAATGAAATACAGGTGGTAAAAAGAAGCAAAGTATTGATATATGCAACAAATGAATAAGCTCAAAAACATCATGCTAAGCAAAAGAAGCCATACATATTTAATTTTTAAAAATTGTATATAACAGATCTCATCTACAGTGACAGAAAACAGATCAATGTCACCGGCGGCTGGAACTCCTCAGGAATACTGACCGCAAAGGAGCCCTTCTGGAATGATGAAGATGTTCTCTCTCGATTGTGGTGGTCGTGGCATGGGTACAGAACACTTGTCAAAAGGCATGGAAGTACTCAAAATGGGAGCATTTTTACTGTATGTTAATTATAACTCAATAAAATTGATTTTTAAAAATTCTAAGTACATATATAAATACACTAATGTTTACAGAGCATTAAGAAAAGTGAAAAAGGCCGGGCGCAGTGGCTCATGCCTGTAATCCCAGCACTTTGGGAGGCCGAGGCGGGTGGATATTGAGGTCAGGAGATTGAGACCATCCTGGCTAACATGGTGAAACCCCGTCTCTACTAAAAATACAAAAAAAATTAGCTGGGCGTGGTAGCGGGCGCCTGTAGTCCCAGCTGCTCGGGAGGCTGAGGCAGGAGAATGGCATGAACCTGGGAGATGGAAATTGCGAGCCGAGGTCGCGCCACTGCCCTCCAGCCTGGGCGATAGAGCAAGACTCTGTCTCCAAAAAAAAAAAAAAAAAAAGAAGTGAAAAAATAATT